CGCGGACAAAAAAAAGTACCGGAGAACAAAGAAGAAGAAAAAAATGATTATAACTAGAGCAAAGCTCGTTGCACAGCAACGAGTAGGTCTTCCGTCCTGTTTGACCGGAAGTAAAGTGACCGAAAGTAACTTTCATTAAAAAAAATGACTAAATATATCCAAAAATTGTTAAAATCCTCCAAATCATATGTTAATTAATAAAAATAAAGCCATTTTTCGCTACTTCCGGTTTGGCCGGAAGTGACGACGTCGGACGGAAAATTGAATTTTATGTTCTTAGTGACAGATGTTACCCAAAAACTTGTCAAGAACGGTAAAAATACGCATTTTCTGACTACTTCCGGTTTGACCGGAAGTGTAGTCACCAGACGTATTTTGACGACGCCACTTAATTAAACTTGAGATTTTGAACAACTTTCCTTTTTTAACATATTACAAATTCTCAATACTTTTTGAGATATAAAGGAAAAACTTTCGGCACCCCTAGGCCCTTAATTTTAGGGGCCAGCCCTTTTTTTTAGATATCATTTGAAAGATAATGTAATTCTACACTTCTTTTTGTTTTATATGTTTGAACAAATTATTTCTAGGTAAAAAGTAATCATAGAAAAGGTGTTAAAATTTTTGAAATTATTGATAGGACTATTTTCGGGCCATAGCGAGCGTCGGCGCTTCGTATTTCCGGTGGTTGTGATATACGAAATTCACTTCTCCAAAGGTTGCTTTAGCATCACTGAAAATTTCATGCTTCTGTGTTAAGTGCTTTTTGAGAAAACTGCCGGACAAAGTGACCCTCTGAAAATCAATAAAATGCGGAAATCTCAAAACCGGAAGTGACGTCATCAAAACAAAAAAATATATATTTAGTTTTTTCCATGCTCTATCAGTCCTAAAGTTTCATGAAAATCGAGTGAGCCGTTTTCGAGAACTCGCGTGCACAAAATCGGTAAGAAAAAAAAACAATAATAATAATAAAAATAGTGGAAAAGAAACCTAAGAATAACAATAAGGTCTTCCGCTGAAGACGGAAGACCTTAATTACAAAGCTCGTTGCAAAGCAACCATTAGGTTCTCCCGTCCGGTTTTGACCGGAAGTGCCGGAAGAGACGGAACAAAAGAAAGCATTGAGCTAAGTAGTCTCCAGTGACTTTATGATTTCAATTTTGCATCAAAACCTTCAAAATAAGCCATTTTTTGCCACTTCCGGTTTGACCGGAAGTGACGACGACGGGCGGAAAAACTACTTTTTAAGCTCCCAAAGACAAATGTCACCCAAAAACTTGTCAAGAACGGCAAAAAAACGCGTTTTCCGCACTTCCGGCTTGGCCGGAAGTGGTGACGCCGGACGTATTTTGACGACTCCAATAGATTAAGCTTGACATTTTGAACAACTTTGCTTCTTTGACGTATTACAAATTCTAAATAGTTTTTGAGATATATCGGAAAAACATGGCCCCTCTCAAGCCCCGATTTAAAGGGCCAGCCCTTTTTTTTTTGAGGTATCATTTGAAAGATCTTGGAATTGTATACTTTTTTTTGTTCTACATGTCTTAACAAAATATTTCTAGGTAAATAGTTATCGTAGAAAAGGTGTTAAAAATTTTAAAATTCTTGGTAAGACTATTTTCGGGCCATAGCGAGCGTCGGCACTTCGTACTTCCGGTGGTTGTGATATACAAAATTCACTTCTCCAAAGGTTGCTCTAGCATCACTGAAAATTTCATGATTCTGTGTTGAGTGTTTTTTTCAGAAAACTGCCGGACAATGTGACCCTCTGAAAATCACTAAAACGCGAAAATCTCAAAACCGGAAATGACGTCATTAAAACAAAAAAATTCATATCTAGATTTTTTTATGCTCTTTCAGTCCTGAAAGTTTCATAAAAATCGAGCGAGCCGTTTTTGAGAACTCGCGTGCACAAAATCGGTAAGAAAAACAACAATAATAATAATAATAACTAGACGAGCTTGTTGCAAAGCAACAAATAAGTCTTCCGTCTAATTCTGAAGATGATGAGATCGAGATTGTTAGACATTTACGGTTATGTGTGCAAAACCGGAAGTGACGACGCCATTTACGTATTTTGACATCTTGACATTTTGAACAACTTTGCTTCTTTGACGTATTACAAATTCTCAATACTTTTTGAATATATACGGCCCCTCAGGCTTAGGGCCAGCCCTTTTTAGAGATATCATTTAAAAGATCTTTAAATTCTACACTTCTTTTGTTCTACATGTCTTAACAAAATATTTCTAGGTAAAAAGTTATCATAGAAAAGGTGTTAAATATTTTGAAACTCACAATAGGACTATTTTCGGGCCATAGCGAGAAAAAGCAAAATGCGAAAGGCATATCTGACAGAATACTGAAAGTTTCATGTTTCTATCTCAACCCATTTTTCAGAAAAACTCTGTGACACAAAAATTCGGTAATCAAAAAAGAAAAAAAACGCATAAGGTTCAATAATAACTAGAAAGTTTCAAAAATTCATTCAGCTCGTTGCAAAGCAAAAAAACAATAATAAAAGTGAAAAAGAAACCTAAGAATAACAGTCTTCCGTCTGAAGACGGAAGACCTTAACCGGAAGTGCATGTATGTTTCATTTTGTTAAAAAAATGATAAATGAAGTGCAATAAGGTTTAAATCCTCCAAATTTATGTTAATTAATGCAAAAATAAGCCATTTTTTGCTACTTCCGGTTTGACCGGAAGTGACGACGATGGACAAAAAATTGAATTTTATGCTCCCAGTGACAGATGTTACCCAAAAACATGTCAAGAACGGCAAAAATATGCATTTTCTGACTACTTCCGGTTTGACCGGAAGTGACGTCACCGGACGTATTTTGACGACGCCAATAGATTGAACTTGACATTTTGAACAACTTTGCTTCTTTCATGTATAACAAATTTTCATTACTTTTTTGAGATATTAAGAAAAAACTTTCAGCCCCTCGCGGCCCTTAATTATAAGGGCCAGCCCTTTTTTCTAGATATCTTTTGAAAGATCATGTAATTCTACACTTCTTTTGTTTTATATGTTTTAACAAAATATTTCTAGGTAAAAAGATATCGAAGAAAAAGTGTCAGAAATTTAGAATTTTACGTTAGGACTATTTTCGGACCATAGCGAGCGTCGGCGTTTCGTACATCCGGTAGTTATGAAATACTTAGTGCACTTCTCCAAAGGTTGCTCTAGCATCACTGAAAATTTCATGCTTCTGTGTTAAGTGCTTTTTGAGAAAACTGCCGGACAAAGTGATCCTCTAAAATTCACTAAATCGCAGAAAACTCCAAACCGGAAGCGACGTCATCAAAATAAAAAAAAATATGTCTAGACCTTTTAATGTTCTATCAGACCTGAAAGTTTCATAAAAATCAATCGAGCCGTTCTCGAAAAATCGCGCGCACAAAATCGGTAATAATAAAAATAGTGGAAAAGAAATCGAGCCGTTCTTTTATCGAGATATCGCGATTTTTTGTTGCGCGCGGAAGACACAAATATCGGAAAGTAAAAAAATGTTGTAAAAATAAAAGAATGGCATCTTACCGTCCAAACATAATTGATTTTACATACATAAAAATTTCAAGAAAGTTAAATTTTGTTTTTCTAATAGTTTTTAGAAAAATAATGACTTTTCATATAAAATCATTGTAAAAATTGCTTTTAAAAATATCATGATATTATCGATATTATGGGAAAAAATCGTGATATATCGCGAAGGGCGATACCCATCCCTTCCGCTGAAGACGGAAGACCTTAATAAAAATAGTGGAAAAGAAACCTAAGAATAACAGTAAGGTCTTCCGCTGAAGACGGAAGAACTTAATAAAAGTGAAAAAGAAACAATAGAATAATAGTAGAGTCTTTCGTTGGAGACGGAAGACCCTAATAATAATAATAAGAAACCGAGTAAAAACAGTATGTTCCCAAACTCCGTTTGGGGAACATAATAATGACACAAAAATTACTTTTATATTGTAATCTTTATATAAAATTAAAGAATAATAAATAACAAAACATAGTAAGAGTGTTATTTAAAGAAAAATAATTTAACAGGTGACAAAACGGTCATTTTGTAAATATAAAATATAAAGATATAAAATATGTTCATAATGTCATTTGCAACATGCTGTTACCATGGAACATTAACATTTCTAAAGAGAAATATTTATAAATTCATTAGAAAATTCAAATTTTTCCCTTAAATTATTTCAACTCCCCCTTTTTATACTTTTTTTCAAGTAAAAAATAATGAATATCATACTGTAAATATATTACATTTGGCTGTGTATTCTTTTTAGTGCTTTCTGTGGAAACTTCCGCTAATTCAAGTACAATGCTAAATATTTTGCAAATATACACATTAATAAGAACATTAAGTTATCCGCTAAATCATATCTATGCTAACTTGTTCAAAAATCAATTTCCGCCAAATATCATACACGCTAAATATAATACATTTACAGTAACTTAATGTACAAAATTGATGTATATAAATGAAAATGGTTTGAAATTCTGCAAATAATGTGAATTTATAATTATGTCTAGAATTTTAAAATGTACACAAAAGAATAAATTTTTTTCACTGAAATGCTGAGGTTAAAAATTGATAGCGACAGTAAATTGTATCAAAGCAGAGTGATAAACATTCAATACAGACTTTGAAAATGAATTTCAAGATTTAATGACACAATAAATAGTACTTGTGATATAAATGTAGATACTATAAGGACTTGGACAGTAATCTCATTAGGTATGTGTGATACTAGTAGATGATCCATAATACAGACCAACTTGTTTAGGTACAATTGATAAATACATGTGGCAGCAAAAAATTCATACAACTTTTAGAACTTTAAATGTTCCAGTCACTCTAGGTTTGCCATCACTGGTTTTGGGAGAAAACATAAATTAATTTATTTTCACCATCCCTGTAATAGCTATAGATCAGCTTTAGATGAGAAAATGTCATGGTCTCTGCCAGACTCCTCTCTCATAAAACCTTACCAATCAGCACACACAAATACCTGTAGTTCTTTGATTTTTCAGCATAGAACACCTGTTGAAAATGAGAAATACTACACAGATGATTGTTTCATACAATATACGTGAGTCATTGAAAGTTTGCAGCAGAGATTATTCCGTCCAACTTACATGATAACATATAGTCTACTGCATGTAGTCAAATATTTTTCTTAGTTCTTACATTGATTCCCGAGCAAATTGATTGATAAACATTTGATTTTAGAGCCACCAAATTTATATATGTATCTACCAAATGATATAATAATAAAACTGTTCATACCTTCAAAATTCTTTCATGTATTGATAATAAATTTAATGTTGACAACAAGCTGTTTATCTTCTGAGGGTCTCCCAAACAGTACTGCAGATTATAGCTACAAAAAGAATAGATACAATTATATTACATGCAATTGTTGAGATGCATGAACATGTAAATGCTATTTATAAATTATATGCATTATCCAACATTTCATGGTGTCACATAAAAATTTAGATGTGAGGAATATTTTATACTAGTTGTCAATGCCTAAATTAGATAACATTAATTCCATAAACAAATATAAATATAAATGCTTACCTGTTGCAATCTGTGTATTAGTATTGATACTAAAATACTGCATCCCTTTGGATTTTCTCAGCTTTTGTCGTTTTGGGAACATCGATGCCAGCTGCAAGCAATTTCCGCACTATATGTATAAAAACCAGCTAACCCGAGTTTCACTCACATTTAATTGCTCTCTCGCTAAAGAATAATGGTCCGGAGTGACATTTTGAGCACAATATGAGGCCTCTGACCAGAACAATGAACATCAAACTCGTCATTCCAGTCATGTAACGAACTCTTACTGGTCAAAACGAGGGTTATATCGTGACACAAAAACATGCATGGAATCATGAATAAGGTTACTTCACAAGTACGATCTCCTAAAACAACTGGGCGCTCGTCAAATTATGTCTTTTCTTGAACCGTTCCTTCCCTTGCCGCTTGCGGCTTGCCGACTTTTCATGGGCGCCGCCATCTTGAATTTTATAGCCTCGGAGACATCGTTTTATTTTAAAGATGCACATTTAAACGTATTTAAACGTCAAATTTGGTATCATCAAGTTGTTTTCTTTAATTATCTATCAATTGAAACAAAAACATTTGAATTTTGGCCTTTGATATTGACTCGAAATGAAAAAGCATTTTATTCCGTAAATTACCGAGATCAAGCCGAAGTTTACCGAAAATTACAGCCGATTTGTACAAATGCTTGTGCCATAGAATTAATGTTTAGTTTGTATATAAAAGTATATGTAAAAGAGAGAAAATCGGATCTGCCAACGAATATGTAAATGAGATATGCAGAATTAAAAGCGCGTTTTGCCAATGAATGGTATATTTTCATTCGAATAGGGCGAATTATTCTACGGGAAAGTTATCTAAGGTGCAAACTTTCTAGCATTCTCGCGCAAGCGTAGCCTGTGGTTTGCCCAGGGCATCCGGTTTAATCTCGCTTAACGCAAAAAAATTATTTTAAAAGCCAAAAAATCGTAACAAAAAAGAAAATATCAGTGGATGTGAGACGTTTTAGACTAGGGAAGAGATATGCATGGACCTCTTTAAATATGATACATGTACGCATGCATCTGATCATTGCACATCGGCAATCTAAATGACATATTGATTCTTTTCCTTATTATAACTTCTTAAAGAACACGATTTTTTTTTAAGAAAATGTATGAACAATCAAGAAAATCTGTTACTTTTTATAAAGACTACAACGTTCTTTCGATTTCAAGTACCCTATAATTCAAAGTGAATTTGAAAATATGCATAGCTGAGCTTGATAAAGTCCGTCAATGCATCACTGCTTAACATCATTATCTTTCTTTTACATTTAATAATTTCTAAAAGCCATAAATATAGTTTAAGTTCAAAAAGTTCGTTCATTCAAGTTTTATATATCAGTCGTGCTTGTATTCCCCACTTGTGATTCTTAATCTTTTTTTTTCTACCCAGCCTTTCATTTTTGTATTATTTGACGAACCTATCTCTGGATCCGCAGTGGAATTTTTAAGTCAGTGTCATAGGACTTTCTTTTCTTTAGGACTCAAAATCGGGGCCGGTCTTAATTTTTGTGATTTTTTTTTTAAGAAAGGTCAATAATAAATAATAAAAACTTTTTTTTTCTGATAAGTCTGGTAACTTCTGGTTTATTTCTGTTCTTATTTATCAGAGTTAAATCATTTTAAATTAAGGGAAAATAAATTTTGGCAATATGTTTCGCATTCGCCATTTACATGTACATACTTATTGTCTTTGATCATGTAAATCCATAGTTAAAAAATGGAGTAAAAACGTTTGTTAACTGATGCAATGTACTAATACTACTTAGACTGTTTGTAAAATCTATAAGGCGCGTGAAACAACAACAGTAAAAGACATGTTTAGCTTGATTGCAAATTATTGTAGATACACACACACAGGAGAGAGAGAGAGAGAGAGAGAGAGAGAGAGAGAGAGAGAGAGAGAGAGAGAGAGAGAGAGAGAGAGAGAGAGCCTCATTTTTTGACTTCTGTAATCAAAAAATCTTTTCGGGGTTCAATAACTTCTACCATAATCAAGCAACTAAAAGAACTTGTCGGAGTTCAATTTATACCACATGAATGGATGCATGCCTGGCTTAAGAAACCCATACCGCATATCGTCACAAAATATTGTTTTCACTCTCGAAACCTTTTAAATCATTACAGACACAAATCAAAACAGATAACCATAAGCTTGATTAATTTTTATCGCTCCCCACCATTGCAAACATTTGAAAGTCTAGACGTTTTTATATTTAAAGTTAAAAAACACGCACATACAAAATTGTCATTATTTAAACTACATTTTCACACTCTCGTCGAGATTTACGATAAAGGTTCAGAGACCTGACAAAAGGTAGGCTAAAAGGATGTAATTGGTTTTTTATTTCTGCTCTTATTTAAAGTTAAATCTATTTAGATTAGGGGAAAAACAAATTTTAGCAATATGTTTCGGATTCATCATTTACACGAAACATTTGAAGATTACTAGAATATCAGATCAATATTTCATAAAACGATACAAAATAGGAGCAGAGCAAACACGGACCTGCAAATTACTAGAGGTGGGATAAGGTGCCATGGAGGAGTGAGCATTCCCTGTCGACCGGTCACACCCGCCGTTTGCTACTTGTCATGATCGGGAAATAACGGGAAAATCCGTCAATTCAGTGTATAAATAATGGACTAACAATTATATTAGTATGAAAAACGTCAGTCAGCATTTGACTCAATGATGAATTGTATTTGCTGACAATGTCATTGTATTGGCCATAGAACTTACGAAATGATGACTTTTAACGAGACTGCTGATATTCTAGTTTTATCAACTTTTTGGTCAATAATTTACCTCGTTTAAAAAATGAGCATGCTCTTGCGCATCGAATTAACTAAGATATATAGATGAAGGCGATGAAGGTATATTGCTGAATAAGTAAGGAACCCGAGAGATTGTTGGAAAACCTGGTCTCCAAAAACCACATAGATACATTAGATATTGTCAATCAGAAGTTCTAGCATCTTTTTATGTCAACTTCAAAGTACTTGTGTGTGCAATCAGAATGTGTTTTAACAAAAAAAAATTAGCAAATGACAAAAATAGCAAAACAACAAAATTAAAAGAGATGTTTATCTTGATTGCAAATTACAGTAGGCATAAACATCCTCAACGAGAGAGAGAGACCTCATTTTAAAGGCATCCGAACCGCATTTTGGCACAAAATGAGTCTGTTCACTCTCCAAACCTTTTAAATCATTTAGACATAGATAAACTAGATGCACCTTTTCCCTCTACGGCCATTGAAAGCATTTGTAAGTCTAGACTTTGTTTTTAGCTCACCTGAGCCGAAGGCTCAAGTGAGCTTTTCTGATCACATTTTGTCCGGCGTCCGTCTGTCTGTCTGTACGTCTCCGTCTGTAAACTTTTCACATTTTCGACTTCTTCTCAAGAACCGCTGGGCCAATTTCAACCAAACTTGCCACAAAGTATCCTTGGGTAAAGGGGATTCAAGTTTGTTCAAATAAAGGGCCACGCCCTCATTCAAGGGGAGATAATTAGGAATAAATGAAAATTTGGTGGCATATTTTAAAAATCTTCTCAAGAACCACTGTGCCAGGAAAGATGAAAATTATGGAGAAACATCCTCAGGAAGTGTAGATTCAAGTTTGTTCAAATCATGACCCCCGGGGGTAGGGCGGGGCCAAAATGGCCGACCTAAGTTTTACATAGAAATATATAGGAAATTTCTTTAAAAATCTTAATTCTTCTCAAGAATGACAAAGCCATAATTCATCATATTTATATGGAAGCATGCTCAGGTAGTGTAGATTCAAGTTTGTTCAAATCATGACTCCCGGGGGTAGGACGGGGCCAAAAATGGCCGACCAAAGTTTTACATAGAAATATATAGGAAATTTCTTTAAAAATCTTCTTCTCAAGAATGACAATGCCATGATTCATCATATTTATATGGAAGCATGCTCATGTAGTGTTGAGATTCAAATTTGTTCAAATCATGACCCCCGGGGGTAGGGCGGGGCCAAAATGGCCGACCAAAGTTTTACATAGAAATATATAGGAAAATTCTTTAAAAATCTTCTTCTCAAGAATGACAAAGCCATAATTCATCATATTTATATGGAAGCATGCTCAGGTAGTGTGGATTCAAATTTGTTCAAATCATGACCCCCGGGGGTTAGGCGGGGCCAAAATGGCCGACCAAAGTTTTCAAAGATATATATAGGAAAATTCTTTAAAAATCATTTTCTAAAAAATAGCAAATCCATGATTGGTCATGTTACTACTTTTGAATGTAAACTTTACAATAAAAAACTATTTTCTACTTTTTCCTACCCTTTGTGCTCAGGTGAGCGATGTGGCCCATGGGCCTCTTGTTTTTTAAGGTTACAACATCTGTACACAGTGTGTTATTTTACACTACATTTTTGCAATCTCTTTTACTTCAGAGAACCGACAAAAGGTAGGCTAAAATTGTAAACCTTAAGAGAACAATTATGTTAAAATTGATCACTTGAGCATACGTAAGAAAACATGGACGATAAATACTCAAATCTAAAACAAAACTGTCTCCACTTGTCTCACTACAGAATCATGCCCTTATTTGAAGACACACTGGTTTGTAATTTAATTGATATCGAGACAAAGTTTGAACGGTATTTCTGTACATGTACTTTATTTTTGTAGAAAATAAGATGTTTGAGTAAATGTGCATAAAGTCATTGATAAACCACAATTGGTTTTAAATTTAAAGATCTCAGACAACAAACGTCAAGAAATAAGACCATGTAGTTTATCAAACACTAAGGTGACAATTTCTTAATTATTAAAGCTCTTGAAATTTAGTAGTGTACATTTATTTAGCATGTAAATGAAAGTACGCCTAAAATATCTGTTGACTAAATGATTTGTTTCTTTTTTCATAATTGTAATACATATATTTTTTCTCTATCATTTTTAATTTAGGAGCGTAGCATTATGTTATAATGTTCTGGGATTGTGGATAGAATGTATAAAGGAA